AAAACCCCAAATCCTTGCTTCCAAGAACAACTTGGTTTCACCTTCTCTAGGACACATCTGTTTGTTCTCTTAATAGTCCATAGTTTGCTCAATACTATTCTCCAGAACCACAACTCAAAGGCATTGATTCTTCTTTGCCATCCTTATTCATCCAGCTCTCTGATGCATAGCAAGTAAATGCAAGACCATGACCAGGATCACTCACAGTTCAGTCGAGACTGACCTTGTTGTTCATCAACAATGAAGAGAGGTCCCTGACAGCAGTTTTCCTGATGCAATTTGTTTTTTGATATCCTGACTGCTGGTGTCAATAGTGCTGTGGACCTGAGCAAGCTGAAATTGTTAGCAATCTCAATCTATTCTCCATCTATTATGGTGCTGCCAATTGGCCCAGAGGTGAGAATCTTTATTTTCTTTGAGTCTCAATCCATAATGAGGAATGCAGTCCTTGTCCTTCTGCAGCAAATTCCTCAGATCTTCCTCAGTTTGGGCAAGCAAGGTTGTGTCACCTGGATAATGCAAGTTGTTGATGAGTTTTCCTCCAATCCTAATGGCACCTTCCTCATAAAGTTCAGCTGCTTGAATGATCTGTGGAGACAGGATGCATCTCTAATGAACTCTTTTCTTGATTTTAAACCATGCAGTGTTTCCTTGCTCTGTTCGAATGACTGCTTCCTAGTCCAAGTAGCACATGGAAGTGTTCTGGGATTCCCATTCTTCACAAGGTTAATTACAATTTGTGATCCACACAGTCAAATGCCTTTTCATAGTTAATGAAACACAGACATTCCTCTGGTACTCTCTGCTTTTAGCCAAGATCCATCAGACATTAGCGATAATATCCCCAGTGCCATAGCCTCTTCTAAACCCAACTTGTATTTCTGGTAGTTGATGTAGAGTTCCAGTTGTTTTTGGATCAGGTTTGCGTCTGTTGTTAGTGCTACTGTCTGATAATTTCCACACTGTCGGATCATCTTTTTTTGGAATGTGAATAAATATTAATCTCTTCCAGTCAGTTGGCCATGTAGCTGTCCTCCAGATTTCTTGGCACAACCTGGTGAGCATGTCCAGGACTTCATCTGACTTTTACTAACATGCACAAAGTATATAAGATGAACTTATACCATCCCACGTGCTGAAAATAGGATTTTTAAATGCCTAACAAATAAATGAAAAGATTCCAGGCTGGATCAGGTACAGCTTAGTCTTAAACTGACATCACTGGAGAGGTCCTTGACAGCAGAATTTCCCAGTGAAACACATTTTTTTTTAAATTTCTTGACTGATGCTACCAAGAGTGTTGTCTATGGATCCAAGCAGTATTAAAATAATTGACAACTTCAAACTTTTCTATGTGATGCTGCCCATTGGAAAAGTAGTGCCAATTTTTGTTTTCTTGATGTTGAATATAATCCATATTGAAGATTGTAATCTTTGATCTCCTGTACAAGTGTCTCAAGTCCTCTTCACTTCCAGCAAGCAAAGTTGTGTTGTTATCTGTATAACCAAGGTTGATGATGAGTCTTCCTCCAGTCCTGATGCCACATTCTTCATAGAGCCAGCTTCTCGAATTATTTGCTCTGCATACAGATCAAATATGTATTAAGGATACAGGTGTGACTTAGCTTCTTAGTCTAGGTAGAGGTTTTGCATGAGCACAATTAAGTGTTCTGGGATTCCCACTCTTCTCAATGTTAGCCATAATTTCTTATGATCCACACAATCAAATGCCTTTTCATGGCCAATAAAACAGAAATAGACATCCTTGTTTTCAGTCAAGATCCATGAGGCATCAGCAATGATATTCCCTATAGTGCCACTGCCTCTTCTAAATCCAGCTTGACTCTCTGGCAGTTCTCTGACAATATACTGTTCTAGTTTTAAAAAATAATGTTCAACAAAATTTAACTTGTGTGTGATATTAACTATATTGTTTGGTAATTTCCACATTCAGTTGTATTACTGTTTTTTAGGCATACTGGTAATGTTGCTAAACTCAACACAGATCACGTGCAGTTTGTACTCTGAAGTTTCAGCACCAAAATGTTACTGTGGTGAGTGCCCTAGTTTTTGCCTCTCTTGCCCAGACCAAAGAACTGAAGACAGTGGCAAGGCTGGTACTGCCACCAGTATGTATAGCAATTTCAGTGGCTCTTAAGAGAGCTTCTCCTCAGTGTTACTGCACCAGAGAACTTAACAGCCACTAAGCTTAGGGAGGTCCAGTTTGCCAAGTAAAGAGATGAAGAGACAAGAGTGGATGTGAAAATAGAGGTAATGTATTAGTGAATGTGAAAGATGGTGTGTTCCTGAGGGAAAAATGAGTCCCTCTCCAAGAGGAAAGGAGTGGAGAGGACATGGTGCTATGAAAGGTTAGGTGCTTATACTTTCTTCTTTCTGCTGGGGTGAGCCCCATGCAATACAGGTGAGTATTTGGGCTGATGGAATGATGTTACTGTAAGTTCCCACTGCAGTCCCAAGAGCCCAAAATTATAATTAGGCTGCTTCAGGGATGCTCTTTATTGTTCATGTCAGCTTTCCAGGGCATTGGCATCTTTTTCATAAAGCTGAATGGTCATCTCCTGGTTCTGGCTTTCCCCCTCTTGTTTACTTGTTTATCTTATATTGGCTCAGGCTGTGTTCATAGCTTGCCAAGGTCCAACTGAAACTGGAAGGCATTTTATGATTTTAAATCTCTTTCTTTGTGCTTCTGCCTCAAATTATTTAGCTGTTATTCAATTTCTAGGGAGTTCAGGGGACTTGGTGATAAGAACTGTGCTGCCCACACAAAGGTATATGGTTCAAATCCATCAGCTTCTCTGCAGGAGAAAGAAAGGCACTCTCCTTCCTCATGATTTACTGACACAGGAGTGTCAGCTATGGGTCGGTTGTGATTTGATGTTATACAACAATAATCAAATTCCTAAGATAAATAAGTACTAGTTAGCTGTCTTCTAAATTTCTTGACATAGACTGTAGGAGTGGTAACAGAGTGGAAGTGATGAATATTTTGCTGTGGTTCCTTAACGGTGTGAATTTAAACAAGTTCCTTAACTTCTCTAGGCTTTAGTTTCTTTATATGTAAAACAAGGATAAAGAAATGAGTACTGCTGCTTTGCAGATTATGTGCCAAAAGCTAGGCTTAAAGTTTTTGTGATAAAAACTTAAGACCTGTTCTACAGATTACACGTCTGGCATAAAATGGCTTTCTTCACAGTGAAAACTCTCAATAACTTAGCACAAAAATGAGTTTAGGAAAATCCAGTAATGGCAATGAGAATTATTTACTTTATGCACACAAATCAGCATTTTTGATAATGCCAGAAATCATGGTAACAGAGGTAAAGTCAATCCCTGCTTAATCTTGAACAGACCACTTTGCTCACTTACTGTCAAAGATGTAAGTTTTAAATTTACCTCCTCCCCCAGCTCAGCTACCCCTGTCAATTCTTCAGGTCACTTTCGCAAGCTCTTTGAACTCAACTTCATGAACTCAGTTATTTACAGTAAGAATTTTTACTGCCAAATAAATACAACAAAAGAAAATAACAAAGTATTTTATTTCACCTCACTGCCTTAGTTTCATCCAGCTGCTTCTAACAGACTCTGACAGACTGCTTCTCTACAACCCTTTATTCCAGAACTGTATGGAACATCCACTGTCATATTACATCACCATAAGAAAGAAACAAGTAGATTTTTTTTCTTTTTTTTTGTTTTTCCTAAATCCCACTGGGCTTACCAAGAAAAGCAGCCTGGTTTTCCTTTCCTCCTTCCATTTCTCTCCACCATCGTGGTGTCGCCAGCTAATGGGGAAGGGTCCAGGCAGAAGGCAGAACAAGAGAGCACTATTCTTTAGCTACTCTTCCCTCGGGTCCCTCTAGGGGAAAGCATTCTCTTTTCCTGCTTCCCAAAATGGAGGGTCTTAAAACCAACTAAACTTTCAAAAAATAAACAAGAAACAAAGCAAAACTGCAAACATTAGCAAAGCAATGCTGGAAGCACTGGTGGTTTCCATGTACTTTCATTGTCACTGCTCCATTTCAGTTCTGGAAGATTTTCCTCCTTCAATTGTCACAGTGAAGTGTTTCATCTTTACAGTGGTAGGAAGTAACCATACTTTTAAGAAAAGGATATATATTTAAATAAATCAAGCCCTATAAAAAATCTGCCTTAGCTATAACTCCAGTGAGATGAATATCGACAACCCTGGCACCTCATTCACCCATGCTGCCTTTTGATTTCTGTGCCTGGCTCCAAACCTTGCTCACAGCCTCCTTTCTACTTTGGCTGCTATGGAGCGCCTCAGAGCTGGATCTGCTCTGGCTCCTTGGTTGGCACCCTTGGTTGGCACTGTGGGCACCACCAGGTTAGTCTCTGGAACCCACCGGGAGACTCAAACATGTCCTTCATGACCTGGTGCCCAAGAGGGCACTGCTCCTTCTGGTAGACCTGAGTGTGCTGCTGTTTGCCCTGGAACTTCCCCTGCAGCCAGCTGGTACTGAACTCCAACACATGATCCACGAGAGATTCAAGACTCGAAGAACTTAAGAGAGAACCAGGAAAAAGAGGATGGATTCCTGCTCTGTACAAGGCTTCATTCTTAATGATGTTTCCTGGAAAAAAGAAAGAGAGTCAAGAAAGGAAAAAGAAAACACACTATAGAAGAATCAGTAAAAAAAAAAATAAAGCAATTTGAGGTATACAAGATGGCAGAGTATTTTATCAGGAAGATTCTAAAACCAGCTTGGCCACCTAGTCTAGCATCTCAGGCAAGTCATCATTTGATTCCTTGCGTCAATTTCCCACTTGCTAAAATGGTCTGATATTACTCACCTTTAAGGATGGTGTAAGACAGAATCAACTTGCTGGGAGTGGATATTTTTTTAAAACTTTGTTTCATATTAAAATCTAAATCTTCATATATAAATTCTATCTGTTCTTAATTGTAAAATTAAAAAAACAAATTCTTTTTTCCTTAAAAAAGATGATACAAAGATGAAATAAAATAAAACCTACAGTCTATGTTTGACAAATTAATTATCTGGAAGCCAACTGTAGATCTGGAATTCCAATTCCATGGCATCTAGCTATGTGTATACCTTGGTAAATTCTTTAGCCTTTTAAAGCTTTTTCCTTAGTTGTAAAAGAGGAATAGCTTATCTGATGTTTTTGAAAAATTGGAATACACACACACACACACACACACTGCTGAATGCTATATACTCAAAATCAGTTGTTTAAAATATTTAGGATAATGCATTAAACATAGAAAGCATTTCCTGAGGCAGTTTTTGAGGGGAACTTGCTGTCCTCCCAGACCTATAATAAAGTGCTTATGGATATTGAAAAAAAGAAAGGATTTCCTTTTCCTCTTTCATTGCTGTCAAGTTGGAACTAATTCAAAGCAGACCCTCCACTGGGTTTATACAGTTGTATATTACAATGGAAAAGATTGCCCATCTTTCTGCCACAGAGCCGCTGGTAGATTTGTACAATCAAAGAGGTGTGGCTTTTGGATTAGCAAAACAACTCCTTATGGACTAGGTCACTAGGGCTTCCTAGAAGTATTTAACAGGTATTCTTTTTCAATAGCCCCTTTATCTGTGAAGCCAATCTTGATCCTTCCTATTAAATTGATCATTCTCTTAAAAATCTTTCAACAGTGCCTTTTCTTTAACTTCTCTACTATCACAAAGTTGGGGGCACTAATGGCCTAGTAGGTAAGAAGTTGTGCTGCCAAGCCAAAGGCAGTCAGTTCAAATTCACCAGCTACACTGAGGGAAAAAGATGGGAAATCTCCTCCTATGTGATATATGTTGTTGTTGTTGTTGTTATGTGCCGTCGAGTCACTTGCGACTCATAGCGACCCTATGTACAACAGCCCTAAACTCCGCTCTGTCCTGTGCCAATCACACTGTCTCTGACACTCCCATCCCAATTAGCTTTTGAAAACTCATTGAAGGGTCAGCTGTTAAGTTGGTTCTGACTTGACAGTAATGTGTTGTTGACCATTATAAACTACCTTAATCATGATTAAATTATTTTTTGCTACAAAGTTCTATTAGTAGACTCTTTTCCAGTAAGAGAATGCAAAATCATTCAATCTTTAAACATTTTGTACAGTAATACAGATTTTGGTAAGTACTCTGTGGGATACATATGTTCCATTATGAGTGGGATGAGGCATGAAAAAATAATTTTATTGTAGTAATTTTATTTCATTCTTGGAAACTTTTAAAAATATGGGACAATACATAAAGGCACCTTGCAATGTCAGCACATCACTGGTGTTCAATTATCTCTCTTTTTAAAATTTTAATAAAAGTTTACAGAGACTTAAGAGTTTCTAGTTATTCACTGCTGCACTTTTCTCCCTGCCCATCCCCTCCTCCCAATACACTCTTCTCCTTGAAAAGTAAAAGAAAAACTCACTGTTATGCAATCCTTCCCCCCAAGACCACTCCACTGTGCAAATGTTTAGCCTTCATTCTGGACTCCTGTCATGACAATAATACCCAATTATATATCCCTTTTAAACAGTTCTCTTCCTCATCTGTTTCAATGAAGTATACATCACTCATCCCCTCCTTCTCTGTCTTCCCTCAACCGCGATGTAAGTCCCATTTTACAACAGTGGCCCTATCCAATATTTGTCCTTTTGTGACTGAGAAATTTCACTCAGCATAATGTCCTCCAGGGTCTCAATTCTCTTTCTTAGTGTTATGTTCTCTAGATCCCACTGACAGAAAATACTTTACAATCTGTTGACAAGCAGTTGGACCTGTGTATCATTTGGTATACCATTTAGTCCTAGCTTGTTCTTTACAAGAAAGGACAGTTTTCTTCTTTTAATTTTCCAATCTTTAGCAAAAATAGCTTGATGAGAGTGAGCCTGAAGGAAAAGTGGGTCACATTTGCCCCACTATTATATTTCCACAAAGTAAAAGGTCAATAAGGAAATACAGCACCATTTGAAAGCACATTCCAATTACTACCATTCATAGCAGTTCTACTCATGGAATTGCTCTTAGGCAAAAATCTGATGAGAAAAATCATCCTCGTCCATCAACAAACGAATGGAAAGAGAAGCTGTGGTATATTCACACAATGGAATACTACGCTGCATTGAAAAACAAGGAACTCATGCAATATTAGTCAAAATCAGTGATCCTGGAGGACATTATGCTGAATGAACTATCTCATTCACAAATGGACAAATACTGCTTGGTGCCACTGTTGTAGAACGAACTGACATCAGGGTTGGTGTGAGATTGAGAAAAATTGGATAAACTATATATACTGCATTGAAGCAGATGAGGGAGAGAACAGTTTATAAGCGATATATGATTGGGTATTATGGTCATAACAAGAGTCCAGAATGAAGGCTGCATAGTGGGGTGTACTCAGGGGAGTGGGGGTGGGACTGTATACCAATGAAAGAATTTTTCTTTTACTTTTCAAAGAGAAGAGGGAACTTGGAAGGAGGGGTGGGCAGGGAGAAAAACGGAACAATGAATGAATGAATGGAAATCCAAAGTCTCTGGAAACGTTCATTAAAATTAATAAAATTTAATAAAAATTTAAAAAAAGGAAAAACAAGGAACTCATGCAATATTAGTCAAAATCAGTGATCCTGGAGGACATTATGCTGAATGAACTATCTCATTCACAAATGGACAAATACTGCTTGGTGCCACTGTTGTAGAACGAACTGACATCAGGGTTGGTGTGAGATTGAGAAAAATTGGATAAACTATATATACTGCATTGAAGCAGATGAGGGAGAGAACAGTTTATAAGCGATATATGATTGGGTATTATGGTCATAACAAGAGTCCAGAATGAAGGCTGCATAGTGGGGTGTACTCAGGGGAGTGGGGGTGGGACTGTATACCAATGAAAGAATTTTTCTTTTACTTTTCAAAGAGAAGAGGGAACTTGGAAGGAGGGGTGGGCAGGGAGAAAAACGGAACAATGAATGAATGAATGGAAATCCAAAGTCTCTGGAAACGTTCGTTAAAATTAATAAAATTTAAAAGAATCATCCTCTGCCTCTCCTGCAGATGTATGGAGGCTCCCAGTTTTCACATGGTATTCTCATCCTTGCCCTCCATATCATCTTGCATACTGCTGGCTTGTATATATTTTTCTTTTGTAATTACCAAAATCCCTTTTGTAAATTTTATTGTTGTTATATGCTATGGCCCAGAACTGACTCATAGCTGACCCTCCAGTGGGTTTGCAGAGGCTGTAAATCACAGGGGAAAAGAATGCCCTAAATCTACTTCTCTATCTTCATGGGTCATTTGCCATACTGCTGAAGTAAGGTTGTTGTATTTTCAAAATACATCCTCACATCAAATATCTTCATTTTCTTGCGTTCATCATGATATTATTATCTGGGTCAACTATTCTTTCTGCCAGGTCAATGGCTTTCTCATCATATAATACTATGCTAGTCTCATCACTGCTGCTGTCAGAATGATCTACAGATTCCACAAATGGGTAAGCTCACCAGAGACATTTTCAGTTATATAATAAAGAATTTATTTGTCCTCTACATAAGTCTGTTTTGTTTTTTAAGAGGAAGGGTAATGTTTCAGAAAAAAAAATCCATTACTGCAAGGCTTAGATAATACACCATTAACTCCAAACAAGTAAGAGATTGCACAAGGGGAGAAATTGCATAATTCAATCCTCTTGTGAAAATAAAAAAACCAAAAGGAATTAGTGCCATTGTCACATCTATAATTAATTTTTATTGCAAGAGAAGTACTTACAGTTCATAAATTAGAAGAATAGCTCTCAAAGGACAGAGCAGAGTTTAGGGCTGTTGTACATAGGGTCACTATAAGTCACAAGCGACTCGACGGCACATAACAACAACAACAACAGCTCTCAAAGATTGAAAAAAATGTACTTAACTGTACATCAAGTATGGCACAAGTAATTAATACTGTACCTGAAAATAAGTTACTCACCTGAAAATTATACAACCAAAATCCTAATTATTCTTGAAAGGCTTTACCTTATCATATATAAGCCAAGCATGGTAAGGTTTGCACAATCACACTTCCAGGATGCAACATCTCAAACAATAACCTTTAAACACATTGATTTAGTGTCACTGAATGTTTCTTTGGTTATAAAGTTAAACATGTCCCCACAGATACCAACACGTACTTTTTAATTGGGATACTAGCACCCAAAGACAATGAGAGTCGGAAAATAACAGTGCGTCTTTTATGTTCCACTACGTCTAAGAAGGTTAAATTATAGTTAACTGAGTATGTGTCTGCTGTACCATTAATCTCCTCAAGACAGAAAGTAAGGTTGACAGTCACACCTCTCTAGCAGGAGAGGGTTTATTCTGCCTGGAGCTTCATAATCATTACCCCTGGAATTGGGGTGGTATGGTCCATAGGGAGCTGGTCTTCTAACCCAAAGGTGGTGTCTGTCTCATAGTTTAAACCCACCAGCAGCTCCTCAGGAGAAACATGGGCAATCTCGTCCGTCTGTGTGATTTACAGCCTTCTGAAAATGAGCTTGAGTATGTGTTTGTTTTGATTCAAAGGCAGGAAGACATTATATCAAATCTCTCTCTAAAATTCACTGACAAACTATCTGAATTCCTATCTTAGCAACTTCACTTATTAGAGTAGAGAACAACAGTAACCCTAGAACTATGTTCCTGACACATTTTTGTTCCTAACACATTTGACTCACTTGGCAAGTGTTAGTTGTCATTTTTTTTTTTACTGATTTCTTCATAAAGTTCATATACACTGTTTTTTTCACACTGAATCTTTACCATTTGCTTCACCCATCCCTTCCTCCACCGATCAAATTGTGTGACACTATGAATGACCACCCTCACCCCCATCTATCCTTACCCCTCTGTTCCTACTTCCCGCCCAGCCCCACTGGATCCTCATACTCATTCTACAATAATGGTCTTATATGATATTTGTCCTTATGGGACTGAGTTCACTTAGCAGAATGCCCTTCAGTCCCTCCCAAGTTTGGTAGTAATTTTCAAAATCATTGTTTCTACATGCTGTAAAATGCTGTCATTATTTTTGTTATGCTATGCACCAGCTCTTGCTATCTATACCCACCATTACACAATGAAAGTCTCTTTTCTCCTTAAGGCACAAGGACTCTGTGGTTTTAACATGAAAACGCAAAGCCCATGTCTGGTGATCCAACTGGAGTGAGCCGTGCCTGTGGCAGGCAAAATTATGCCTTGGGTATGGAGGTAACTTCACTATCACTAAGTCATCTAATTGTTTCAGCAGCAAATTATGGTTGCACTTATTTCCCTGCTGTGGTTAGGAATAGTAATGTGGTCTATAGTCTGGCTAATTAGCCTGTATTTTTCAAATTGCTCAGCTCTTCTTTTCACCTCTCAAGAGGCAGTCAAAACATTAAGAATTTCATGCTGAGGACACTTGAACAGAGCGAGATTACCTGTTTTTTCACTCGGCCTGCAAAGATCCAGATGTAGATGGAGACATATCTGTGCTCTTGCCAACAGGCCACCCCATCTGTCCCAGTGAGAGACCCATTAACAAATGCATTTGTCTCCATTGCAAAGTCACCACTTTCTGCTCCTAGCAGACACTGACCAAAAGCAGCTCCTGTGACAGGCACAGTGCTAGGTAGCAGAAGCCACAAGAAAGCAAGAGACAGGATTCTGCCCTTCAGGAGGTCACGTTCCAAAGCAGCATTCAGATTAGTTCTAGGATATACAGACTTCATTCTGGACTCCTGTCATGGCAATAATACCTAATCACGACAGGAGTCCAGAATGAAATTGCATAGTGGAGTGGACCTGGGGGGAGGGATTGTAAAACAATGAAAGAATTTTTCAAAGAGAAGAGTGTATTGAGGTGGGAGGGGTAGACAGGGAGAAAAGTACAAAATGAATTAATGGAAACAAAATTTAAAAAAAAAAAAAAAAGAAAGAAGAACCAGCATGTAGCCCATCCCTTGAGTCTCAGTTTTCTGCACAAGATGAAGCAGGACCTTCTCTGACAAGGAAGCAGAGAATAGTTCAGGCTAAACTAGAACTGATTCCCTATAGACTTGGAGTCAAACATTTATCCTCAGAATGGAGGGGTAAAATACAAAATTGTTAGAACATGTAGAGCTTTGTAACTCTGGCTCAAAGCTCCTGCCTATCAGCAAACCTAAGGAAAAAACTTTCCTGTCTGGGGGAAAAAAAGAGAGAGAGAGAATATAATTAGAGAATGAACTCTGAGGCCAGGAAAGAAGTTGAAAACTACTTATTCTGACTTCCTAGATTTAAAAATAAGTGAAATTAAATAGTTTATGGGAGCTCTCGTGGTCTAGTGGTTGAGCTGTGCTGGCAACCCAAAGGCATGTTGAGAATCCACCAAACTGCTCCTCAGGAGAAAGATGGGCCATTTCCTCCTGTGTGACTTATACCCTCTGAAAACGTGCTGAACAACAAGTGGGGTCTGGCACAATGGCACATAACAACAATAAAAGAGTTTAGTCAACAAAAAATACCCTTCAGATCAGTTAGTACAGGTATACTTAGGGCAATGTCCCAGGTCCAGTGACTCAAAACCAGCTGTGTCCAGTCAACTGCAACCCCGACGATACCATGTTGCATGGGGGGGCGAACTGCGCTCAAAAGGGTTTTCATAGGCTGATTTTTAGAAGTAGGTCACCAGGCCTTTCTGCCAAGCCACCTGACTGGACTCAAACCTGGAACCTTTTGGTTAGTAGTCTAGCAAGCACATTAGCCATCTACACCACCCAGGGGCTCTTGTGACTCGCAGACATGGGTCTTTTCTGTTAAACAATTCTGTGAGGCTCAACCTTCTTGCTCATCAGTCATACCTAATCCTGCAAAGTGTCTTTGGTCCAGTAGTGTATAGCAGACAGGCTGAGCCTGGCCCAGAGCTTCCAAGGCTTGTCCTCGATGAAACTTCTCAGACAAGATGTCGGAACTGGGTTTTACCACTGGCGAAGAGCTCCAAGACATCTGACAATTGTAAAACGCCAGGAAATTACCACCATCAAAGTGTAGAACCAATCTGAAAAGAAATAAAAGATACCACCACAATATGGTCAGCTTACACACACACACACACACACACACACACACACCCCTTCTATAGCTTGGTCAGTTCACACCTCCCACAATATGCTGCTGTTCTGGGGTACCATCAAGTCAGAAACAACTCATACATCTTCAGAAGCAATTTATCACCTGGGAGAAGACTGCCCATCTTCCCTACATTATTGTTGTTGTTAAGGGCAGTCGAGTCACTTGTGACTCATAGTGACCCAATGTACAATAGCCCTAAACTCTGCTCTGTCCTGTGCCAATTGCACTGTCTCCAATACACCCATGCTGATTACCCCAGTCACTGAATCAATCCACCTCATAGAGGGCCTTCCCCTTCTGTGCTGTCCCTCCACCCTCCCAAGCACGATGTCCCTTTCCAAGGACCTGTCTCTCCTTATAACATGTCCAAAGTATGTCAGACGGAGCCTCAGAATCCTTGCCTCCAAGGAGCCCCCCGGTTTAACCCTTTCCAGGATGAATTGTTTGTTTTCCTACCAGTCCATGGTACCCTCAACACTCTTCTCCAGCACCACACCTCAAAGGCATCAATTCTCCTTCTATCTTCCCTAGTCACTGTTCAACTCTCTGATGCCTAACGAGTGATTAAAAACCACGGCTTAACTGGGGAAAACTAAGATCCTAAAGAGATTATTACTGATGGTTCTGGGGTAGATTATGCATCCTCCACATGGAAGACAAGGGTTCACATCCCAGCCAATGTACTTCATGTGCAGTCTGCTTATGGAAGCTTGCATGTTGCTAAGATGCTGAACAGATTTCAACAGAGAGTCCAGTCTAAGCTGGACTCGGAAGAAAGATTTGTCAATTTTCTACTGGAAATTTGCCTGGGCAAAACTTTACAGGTCACAAAGGACCAGAGTCCATAACTTATAATGGGGATGGTGCATAACCGGCCAGCCTTTCATTCTGTGGTACAGGGGGTCACTGTAAGTTGAAAACAGCCTGGCAACAGCTTACAACAAGGTCATAAAAGAGAAAACTTGAAACCAAATGCCCTGCCATCCAGCTGATTCTGACTCTTAGGAACCTTAGTGTATGGAGCAGAACTGTCCATGGGGTTTCCAACGATAAAAAATCTTTCCAGACGTAGAATACCCCATACTTCTCTTGCAGAGAGGTTGGTAGGTTTGAACCACCAATCTTTTGCTAAGGAGACTGATGCTTTACTTACAGCACCACCTGGGCTCCTAAGAGAGAAAAGAGATCATGAAAAATCTCAAGGTTAAGTGGATTAACTTTAAAAAGACACACATAAGTAGGTATGCCCATTATCCTGATCACAGCAAATCATAATGGTAATATAGTTCTTTGAATAAAAAACAGGGCTTCTTGGGGAAAAGGGAAGAGAAATATGGTGGTGCCATGCACAGTTTCAAGCAAGATTTACTAAAACCAAAAAGCACCCCTACATACATTCTGAAGATTGTTCTAAATTCCAAGAGGAAAACAAAACCCACAAACTTTGATAAAAAACTACCAGTCATTTAGTAAAGGAGGACAACTCTGGAAGCATAATCTGCAGGGAGATGCACTGCTAACCTGAAGACTGTACCTGTCTGGCAGTTTGAATCCAGTAGTTCCATGGAAGAAAGATGGGCAATCCCTCCCATGTATTTTACAGTTTCTGAAACTCAGTGGAGGGTCGGTGAGCTATCAGTTTGTTTCAACTCAAAGGCAATGCATTTTGGCCTACTCTTCCCTCCAATCCCTGTTTTGTAGGGAAAATATCATTAGACTAGAATCAGAATAGGTAATATTATGTGAAAGTTAAACTGTAACTTTAGACAAGCAGAGACCCAGGAAAAATGTCTACAAATACTATTACAGACTGAATTGTGTCTCTCTAAATATGTGTTAGAGAGCTCTGGTGGCCTAGTGGCCAAAAGCTGTGCTGCAATCCCCAAGACACATGGCTCAAGGCCACCAGCTGCTCTGCGGGAGAAGGATGGGCAATCTCCTCGAATGCAATTAACTACCTCTAAAAACCTGCCAGAAGGTCAGCTATGGGTGAGTTTAAAGTTTACAGTAACAACAATAATAACAACAAATATGTGTTAGGGAGCTATGGTAGCCTAGGTGGCAAAAAGCTGCACTGCAATCCCAAAGGCATGTGATTAGAATCCACCAGCTGCTCCAATGGAAAAGGATGGGCAATCTTTTCTTGTACAATTTACCGCCTCTGAAAACCCATTACATAGTCCAGTATGGGTCAGTTCCAACTTGATGACACCCAAAAGCAACAACAATAGAAAAAAAAGATACACATTTAACGTGAAGATTTACCAACTATCTGTCATACTGTGGTGATGATACAATGATGCTGGCGGTCTTGCCATGAGAATGTCAAATACCAGGAGGGGCAAGTTTCTCTGGAGCCTCCAGAATAAGACTGAAAATTAGCCAGTGGAAACTCTATTGAACAGAACATTGAACACTGACCAACTAGACTCAAACATGTCAATAAGTGTAAAGATGGTGCAGAACTGGACATCTGGTTCTTTTGTACACAGTCACTTTAAGCCACTGCCAACTCAATGTTGGCTAACAAACAAGCAAAAAAAAAAAAACCAACTGGAAAATAATCACGAGCAGTAATGAAAAGGCATCCTTCCAAATTGTTATTGTTGTTGTTGTGTACCATCAAGTCAGAACTTACTCATAGTTGACCCTCCAGTATGTTTTTTAGAGGCAGTTAATCACATGAGAGGAGATCTCCTGTCTTTCGCTACAGAGGCAACCGGTGGATTCATACTTTGTGCTTTTGGGCTGGCAGTCCAATTCTTTACCACTAAGCCACTCCCTTCTCCCAAATTAGCAGGGATAAAAAAGGGAAGAAATGAAATTTAATTACGCCAACAGAAGGTGACAAGAGAAATTAAAACTATAACATAAAATGGAAGAAAACTTCTTATACCACAGTTAATGCATTTCAGAACAGAGTTTTGGCTTACATTTAAAAGCCAGTTATTTATGTTCATTTAAAAAAAAAATACCCGAAAACAAGTGAAAAACCTACAACCAGGAGAAAATAAAATAGATTAATGGGCCCTTATAAGAATCAAATCCCTGTGCACATGAAAAAACTTCTCAACAGGATAAGAAGGAAACTCGTGGACCAGGAAAAAATATCACATATCTGATAAGGAACTTACATCTATAATTTATAGAATACTCCAACAGCTCAACAAGATAAAGGTAAGAACCCAATCACAATGGACACAAGATATGAATAGATATTTCATCAAAGACGACATTCAGATGGCAAACAAACACATGAAGAAATGTTCAAAATCCCTAGCTATCAGAGAGATGCAAATCAAAACAACTATGAAATATCATCTCACCCAGCAGCAATAGCAGAGCTCAACAGGGCAGCAAACAACAAATGCTGGTAAGTTTGTAGAGAGATTTTAATCCTTATTCACTACTGGTGGGAAGGTAAAAGGAATAGTACAGCCACTACATAAGGCAGTCTGGCACTTTCTCAAAAAGTTGAAAGCAGACATTTGACCCAGCAACTCCACTACTAGGTATTTGACCTAGCAAATACCCTAAAGGAAGCAGAGCCATGACTCAAATGGATGTATGCACACCCATGTTTATTGCTGTGTTATTCATAATAGCAAAGAGATGGAAGCAATCTAAGTGCCCATCAACAAATTATAGGATAGAAAAATCTATGGTACATACACACAATGGAATATTATGCAGCACTGAAAAACAATGAACCAGTAAAATATTATCCAACGTTGGGCACCTCGAGACATTATGCTGAGTGAAATATCTCAATCACATTACAACAATACTGTATGACACTGCTATTATAAAACAGGACAGACATGAGAGGGGGGTTGCGGATAAAATGGGAAAAGAATGGACAGATAATGAACACTGCATTATAACAGATGAGGAAATGAACTGTCCAAATACAATATATGATTATGGATTATATGTATGAGAACAATCTGGAACATGAGGTGCATTGCAGGGTGGGTGGGAGACGGAGATGGAGGGGGAAAAGAAACGGGGAGGATAACGTGCAACAATGAAAAAGATTAGTAAATATTAAAAAAGGCAACAGAAAAAAAACCCCACAAGTGAAAAATAAGGCTGAAAAAGGATGAGAAAATGGAATACAAGACAGTACCAACATAAAGAATGGGAAAATTCAAGCTCAAAGGCAAAGAGGATACTTCTATTATTTAGTAATAAAGCAGCAATCTACAAAGGATCTATGAGAGTCATGAACCATCACACACTGAACAGTCTATACACAGTAAAATACTTAAAAAAACTTATAAAGAGAAATTTTATAAAGCCACAACTATATTGAGTATTTTAATATACTCTTCTAAAGTGTGACATCCTAAGTAAATGAACAAACAAGCAAAAAGACAGACATCAAAGTTGAAAGAATTCAGGTTATTAAATCAGTACACACGAAATCCACTGCTTCTGAGGGGATTCTGGCTCACAGTGATCCTCCATTGGCCGAGTCTTTATAGGAGATGAACCGTTTTTCTCCTGCAAAGGATCTAGTAGATTAGAACCTCTGAAATGTTATGTACCGTACTACAGGGCTTACTGTGATGGGAAATTCTGCTGTTAGGGACCTCTCTAAAGTACTCAAGAGCAACGGTGTCTCTGGAGACTAAGGTGCACCTGATACAGGCCATGGTTTTTGCAATCACTGGTTATGCATCAGAGAGTTGGACAATGACTAGGGAGGACAGAAGGAGAATTGACACCTTTGAGCTGTGGTGCTGAAGAAGAGTATTGAATGTACCATGGACTGCCAACAAAACAAACAGATTCATCCTGGAAAGGGTTAAACCAGGCTGCTCCTTGGAGGCAAGGATTCTGGGGCTTCGTCTGACATACTTTGGACATGTTGTAAGGAGAGACAGGTCTTTAGAGAGGGACATCATGCTGGGAGAGTAGAGGGACAGCGCAGGAGGGGAAGACCCTCTATGAGGTGGATTGATTCAGTGACTGGGGTAATAGGGATGGGTGTGTCAGAGGCAATGCGATTGGCACAGGATAGAACAGGGTTTAGGGCTGTTGTACATAAGGTCGCTATGAGTCGTAAACGACTCGATGGCACATAACAACAACAATAGATTTACAAAACAGAAAATGTGCACAGACTGCATTCTCTGCTCATAATCCCTCCCTTAAAAAAACCCACCCAAAAATAAAATAAAAGAGGATGACAAAGGAGTGACAACTTTATAAGAAGGTAAGGGAATAATATGCATTAACATGATGTCATCCTATTTGAAAACCTAGAAGGAATCTTGTTAAGTCCAAGGGTATTCCAGTTCTTGAGTCAAACTCACTCTGTTGGCTCTGTGGGAGAAATGCCTGATGCTCCCATAAATATTATAGCCATCCTCTACTACGTCCTCTAGCAAATGGTGTTTCTATTAAAATTGACTAGATAGACCTAGCAACAAGAGTTGGTGTTTCGAGCTCCTGAGTGGCTCAATAGAGCATTTGGCCAATAAGCGAAAGATTAGAGGTTCAAGTTCATTTAGAAGCACATTGGGAGAAAATTTTACTTCTTAAAAAATAAGCCATTGAGGAGCTCTGGTGGCCTAGTGACAAGAAGAGAGCATTATGTCGAGAGAACTAAGTCCCACAAGGACAAATACTGTATAAAACCACTATTGTAGAATGAGTATGAGGATCCAAGAGGGGAGAGGTGAAAGCAGCACAGTGAGGATGGGGGGAAAGGGTGTTAATCGTAGGGTTGCACAATTCACTGGGAAGGTGGGGTGAAGGAAATGGGAAGGATCTTTTGTGAAAAACAAAGCATTCAAACTTTGTAAATAAGTCAGTTTAAAAGAAAAAAAAAACACCAAACCACCCAAAACATACAAACTTTATAAGTAAACCAGTATAAAATAAAAAAAATTAGAATAAAAAAAAATAAGCCACTGAAAGCCACAAGGAGCATAATTCTATTCTGATACACGTGGAGCCACCAGGAGTCAGAATGGACTTCTCAGCATCCGTCCAAGCTCATGATTAATCCAGGATTCAGCATGTGACACAATCTGAGGGACAGTCCTGTTCATAGCAACCAATAGAACTAATCCTGGAATTTTTTTTTTCATGTAATGTAAGGACTTGAACTTAAGACTCATCTTGCTGCTTATCTAAGGACATGATCAACTAATAACAAAGTACAAAGCTAAAATATGAACTTTCCAAAAAATGAAACCAGAACTTTGAAACTGAATCAACTTCAAAGCCCACCCTCCCTCCAGATTTCCAGTTACCAGCAACAAAAAGGATCTAATTATCATTTAAAATACTCGAGTTCTTTTTACCGACCCAAAGTGCCCTACTGTGGTTTTTTTAAGGTTATGAACCGAGGACTTACTTTATTACCTTTTAACATAGAGGGAAGTTCCTGAACCCTGGAGAGGTGTCCCAGACCCATGCACACAGAACTCCCACCTCTCAATGTAACCCTAGACAAGAAATGTCCTACTACCCAAAGGATTCTATAATCCCTATTTTTTTTTCTTTTTTTTAAAAAAAATTTTATCTGAGTAAAATTTTACAAAGCATATTATTTTTTAATCATTCATGAGCATTTTATTCCATAACATTAGTCAGTACCTACTCTCTGATGATCTATTCATTCTATATTGCATTTCCCTTCACCCACATTAATAAGTATTTATTACCAAAAAGATTATCATTCTCAACAGGAAGAAAACACAAATAGACAAGTATTTGTGGTGACTTTGATGTAGAAAAGGCCTTTAGTTAGAGAGGAAAGTTAAGAGCTGCCACACAAAAAAATACTATCAGATACAGTAAACAACATGACTCTGAAAACTCTATGAACTTTGATAAATGTTGATCGCTGTAGATGGGGTTCAGGCCTTTTGTTCATAGGGTCGCTATGAGTCGTGCTTGACTCGAGGACAATCAACAACAACAACATCAGATACAAATTAAAGGACTTATCACAGATACAAAAGAATATTGGTAATGTATGTCACAAGTTAATAGATTTTATGTCCAAAAGAACCTAATAAATTGATCAAAATCTACCAACTCAATGCAATTCATAATTCAACTAAGCTTGTACTTCTATAAAAGCAATAAAAATATTCAACCATAAAACTTCATTTTCTGCAACTAATAATTCTCTGGAATCTACACTACAGAACTAATCTTTCTAAATACAGAGCTTTATGCACAAAGATATTCTTCTCAACATAAACTGATTAAAAGCTGAAAAAATCATGTCTCTAACTTCAGAGTGCTAAAATGCCTTTCAAGACTCTTATGTTCTCTGCAACTACAATCCCAGAGGCGCACGGTTCGAATCCACCAGATGCTCTGCCGGGAAAGGAGGGACAATCTCCTTCTGTATCAGTCAAATCTGATTTGACGGTACACGCACACAAAAATAATTAAAAAAATTTTTTTTAAAAATAAGACTCTTATGTTCTCAAGTTATACATCTGCTGAAAGTGTCCCTCTCTTTTTTAACCTTTGACAACTTTTTAAAACAAAATTTTTACTTTACTTACTAAGTTCATATGCATTGTTTGTCACACCAGATTTTTCCCATTTCCTTTACCCCCTGCTCCCTCTACCCATCAAATTGTGTGATCCTATGATTACACTCTCCCCATCCTCACCCCTCTGTTCTTACCCTCCCACTTGGATCCTCATACATGTTTTCCTAGTTATCTTTCTATTTCTACAGTAATGCCTTTTACCACTATTTGTTATATTTTAAGTTATTATTATTTTAAGTTTTTATTTTATACAGGTTTGCTTACAAAGTTCATATACATTGTGTTTCACACTATCCTTTATTGTGTTTCACACAATCATTGATTCATTATATTTTATAAAATTAATCGACATTTAACTGTGTCCACCATTGCCCTGTCTTTCCAGATCCTTGTTGGATCTTTCTCATTTCCTTTAACCACCCCTCCATCCATCCATCAAATTGTGCCACCCTATGATTTCCCCCTGCCCACCCTCACCCCTCTGCTCCTACCCTCTCACCCTTGGATCCTCATATACATTTTATTAGTTATCTTTCTATTTCTACAATAACAGTTTCATACACTATTTGTACTTACTGTCCACCTTTTGCTAAGTGACATAATTTTTTCAGTTTTCTTATGAGATACAGATCACAGTCCACTTTCTATTAGGGGTAGAAATAGATGCTTATCTTTTCCTAAACAATAGGCTCTTTGGTAACCAAAACCAACTAAATCCAAAAGTGATTCTGACTCATAGTGTCCCTATAAGACAAGTACAACTGGTCTTCCAAGTTTACAATCTTTACATGAAGAAACTGCGATAGTTTCTCCCCAGAGTGGCCAGTGGGTTAGACTCATTAGCCTTTGAGCACTTAAAACACTATGCCACTAAGGCTCTGTCTAAATTCAGACCCTCCTTCTGTCAAGTCAGTTCTTACAGACAGAGACCCTTCATTGGTTCCTGAAGCTATACATTTTTGCGAGAGGAGACTGCTCAACTTTCTCCCCTAGATCAGCAACTGGATTAGAACTTTGGACTTTCAGTTCAAATTCAGTAACATACTACACCACCAGGGCTGCTAAGGTGGAAGCAACTCTAGCTTACCCTACAGTAGGTTTTCTAAAACTGTTAATCACAAGAAAGGAAACTGTCCATCTTTCTCCCACCGAGCTTCCGGTGGATTTGAATCACCAGAGAGGTGCAATCATATGGGTTAGCAGCACCGCTCCCTGTGGAGTCTGTATTCATTTAGACCATCTCTAGAGTGCTCCATAGCCTCGCCCCAACCCCACCATGGCAGGTGCCTAACAAATGTTGAATACTGACAATCCCAGAAAGGGTCTTGCAGGAAGACAGTCACAGCCTCACTGCCTGTTCAACTGCCATTACCTTGGGACAGGATCCCTCCAGTCTCCCCTCTTGTTCGCTTTCTTGGCTCTGGAGAATTCATTCACCCAAATGCTGCCAAACAAACCAAAGTGGACATGGAGCCACCGTTCCATATATCCTGCATGCGTGTCTTCCCTCAAATAACGTGAATTCTCTTCTTCAAAGGAAGTAAGATCTTTGGACATGGAGGACTGATCAGAGATTTCTGGTCCTTTGGGACCCAAGATCTGTGCTTGATCTGCAGTATCTTCCTCTCCATCTCCTTTTTTAACAGACTCAAATAATGGATTTTTCCCATCAGGCCTCATTTCTTCATCTGGATCAAATCTAAGGAATAACTTCTTTCCATGGACCTAGGGGAGGAAATGAATATGAATTTAAGTACTATAAACCAAGAATGTTGAAAACCAAAAGAGCTGTATCTAGACATTTATCCTAATGTAAATTTCTCCCTCTGGCCTCTTCTAGGAAGTTTTCTCAGAACAAATAAAACTGAATATTGTGGTCCTGCCTTTATATTATTGTTTCAGTAGTAAAGACAATTAGCAGAGGGTTTTCAAGCTGACTGGAATGAAGCAGATTAGCAAAAAAACAGATTCATGATAGGTAGCAGAGTTGTACTAAAATATGTGAAGATGATTATTCTAAAGAACTAAATATAAGCTGTCATTCTTTCAATTGATTGATACATTTTTCTTTGCTAAAAATAATAAAAATGTGACAGCAAATAAAGACAATGAATTGTGAAATTTGACACCCCTTGCCACTCCACTGCAAGCTGGACTTCACAGAAAAAAATGACACTAACAGAATTTAAAATTTTTCTTAATGTCAGTAAGAATTGAATAGGGACCCCGAAATCGACTAATGAATTAAAGAACGACTGTAAAACATATGGATCCAGGACTCAACTTGGCCCAGTGGTCAGTAAAAGAAAAATGCGAAATATTTTAAAATCATTTTCTGGCTGCTATGTATTCTGTTTTCATAAGGCTTAAAAAAATGACAAGCAATCTATGGCAAGATTCTGGAATGACTGTCTTGCATGATTGGCCTCTCTTGACAATATGCCCCAAGTATGGGAGATAAAATTTTACCCTCCTTGCTTCTAAGGAGGACCTTTATCATACTTTCTCAAGCCAGACTTATTTATTCTTTTGGCAACACATATAATATTCAATGCTCTTTGTCAACACCCTTTCTAAATAATCCCAGCATAATTTGTCTGCAAATATGAGCACATAACTGTTTTCCGCCATATTCTAGAGATGCTTAACTAATTTATAATTAAGAGAAAAATAAGCAAGGAATTAAGGTGAAATGCAATTTGCCTGAGAAAATACTTTCTTGGTACAAATTAAGAAAGGTATGCTTTTTGTGAAAATATCTGTCAGCAGCTCCTCAGGGTAAAAAGATTTGCAAAGTTAAGAATGACTAGGTCAGGACATTTGTACCCTCGCCAATGATGGTAATTTTTATTGTTCCTCTTTTAAATTACTCTTGTTGTTATTATGTACCATCAAGTTGCTTGCGACTCACAGTAACCCTATGTACAAGAGCCCTAAACCCTGCTCTATCCTGTGCCAACCTCATTGTCTCTGACACACTTACTCCCAGCACCCCAATCACTGAATCGATCCATCTCATTGAGGGTCTTCCTCTTCTGTACAGTCCCTCTCTAAGGACTGGTCTCTGCTTGCAACATGCCCAAAGTACATCAGACAAAGTTTCAGAATCCTTGCCTCCAAGGAGCAGCCCGGCTTCCCCCTCTCCAGGACAAACCTGTTTGTACTCCTAGCAGTCCATATATATTCAACCCTTTTCTCCAGCACCACAGCTCAAAGGCATCAATTATCTTTTTATCATCCCTAGTTACTGTTCAGGTCTCCCATGCATAGCACACAAATAAGAAGACTATAGCCCGGATCAGGCGCACCTTAGTCTCCAGCCTGACGTCGTTGCTCTTTAGTACTCTTGAGAGGTCCCTCACAGCTGCCTTTCCCAATGCAATTCGTCTCTTGATTTCCTGGCTGCTGTTACCAAGAGTGTTGACTGTGAAACCAAGTAAACTAAAACTGTGAACAATCTCAATCTCTT